CAAGCAGCATAAACAGAAAAAAACACTACAAGCACAAAACAACATAAAACAATATATATATATGTATATATATATATATACATATATATATATGCTAAAGTAAAAAAAAAGACAATCATAATAGAAGAAGCAGTAGCAATGTTAATGACTGAAGTCTCAATGATGAAAGCTTGAGGATAATGTAATAACATTTTCAAAGTATTGAAAGAAAGTGAGAACTTAGGTTTTTATGCCTTGCGAATAATCCTAATAATGTATATAAAATGAAAACATTTTCACAAACACACACACAGAACCTGAAAGAATTAACTTGCATTAGAAGAAATAGTGAATGGTATTCTTCAAAATTGTCCTGGATGGAAACACAGAAATGCAGGAAGAAATAGAGCAATGAATAAGGACTAAGTGGGAAAAACACATGACTGTGGATTAAACATCAATATGGGGCTTAAAAAACATGTAAAATTAATATGCATGAAAACCACAAAATGGAGTGGTGGGATAAATGATGTTAAGTGATCTGAATTTGTAGGATTTGAAGGGAAGAGGCAAAAGTAATTTTTGTTTACAAATGGCACACTTTAAGTGTAAGAATCATAAATACTGCTATTAGAAGGATGGAAAAATATGTAAAGTATGAACATGAAACAAAAAGGGCTCAAGTATGTTAATAAAAGTAGATCTTAAAGAAGAATCACTATTAGAAATAAAGGTGACATTTTATAATGAATCTGTCACTTTTATTGTGATTCTTACATTTTAAATATCTTTTGTAAACGCCATATAGCTGGATCCTGATTCTTGAATTCAGTCAACAATCTTTGTATTTTATTTGGACTGTTTACTCTATTTACATTTGATATAATGTCTGATTGAAGTTATACTTAATATGTTATCTTAATATTTGTAATCTAGGCTATATACTAATGAGTACAAGAATTATGCCATAGCTGTCCCAGAGTAACCAATTTCACTACTATCTTGCCAAACGATCTAATCTCTCTGCACATTGACATTCTCATTTGGCTGACATCTGCCTCCATGTTTTGCAATCCAACAACAGACCAGTAAATGAAGTCATATGCAAGCACTAATGCTGAAAAAAAAAAAAACTATAACAAAAGCAGGCAAAAAAGAGAATGATTTTGATTGACCTAACCTGTGGGATCTGCTAAAAACCAAGTAAAAGGGGTAGGAGAGTTAGGAATCCAAGAAGCAGAAAGAGCTGCTCTGTTGAGATGTTGGCAGACAGCCATGCAAGCAGAGCAGTTTCTTGATGGCCTTCCCTCCTGCTTATGTTAACATTTAGAAACTTGGAATT